CTACCAATTGATGTAAGTAAAAAGAATACATGTAGATTAAAGGTTATTCATACAATGCATTTTCATAATTTCATTTTCTATTTTCAAGTTTTGTCTTCTGTTTCAGACAGGGTTTCACACTTTCACAAGCATTTATAATCACATTAACAAGTCAACATATATTAAAAAATGGCACTGATGACAAAGTTGCTTGGCTACGTGGCAGGGGTCAACTATAAAACAAACAAACAAATAACGCATTATGTGACTGCAAACTGCTGTTGCACTGTCAGCTGACATTATGTTTCACCTCGTACTCTGCATGTATGTTACTAAGTCAGTTTGTATCAAAGACAGGATTTCAGATTGTGGACACAATAAATTGTAAAGGTTTCAAAAACAAAAAAGCTGAACACAATCACACTGGCACTTCTTTCGGCAAAGAAAGTTCGTAAACAGACCTAGGCCTATTTATATACAGGGGGGCCCCCCAAATTCGCAGGGGTTAGGTTCTCAAAATGGCCGCGAATCGCCAAATCCGCGAATATCATTTGCGGACCGGGGTACATTTTTACTTGTGTACTGTACAAAGAAATGTACAGTATTGTATACAAAGAAATGTACATTATTGTATATTCCCTTTATGTGTTTCCCCTTAGGACAATTATTTCTTTTACCTGTATTATATATACAGCTCCTCCCCGACTTACAACCTACTTGACTTATGGCCACCCGCACTTACGACCACCTTCACTTACGACCTGCCTCATTCATACCAAAATTTGGCAAATTACGTATTTTCGAGTCCCAACGTCAGTACACAGACAAAATTTTCATTTGTAATTCACTTTAAAATGGCTGGCAAGCTTAAAAGTGAGAGTTTTGTGGTGCTGAGAAGAAAAAGAGACACCCTTTTTAGATTTTCTATGTATTATTTAAGCATTTTCGACGTACGACCATTTCGACTTACGACCTGGATTTGGGTCCCTAACCCCGTCGTAAGTCGGGGAGGAGCTGTGTGTGTGTGTGTGTGTGTAGACATACACACACACACAAAACATATACTGTACAGTACAAATAAATAATAATGGTAAATACTCTCACAAATAATCAGAAACAAATTTATTAAAATGTGACATTCTACCCTCAAGTCCGTACTTTATTAATAAAGTAATAAAGCACGCCCAATGGGCTATATTTTCAAATAACTCTAAAACTATTCAGTGAAACTGACTGAACTTTGGACACCATTTGACAGACATCGTCTTTATTGTATGGGCCTTATTACCTTCCCAAGATGGTCTTGGTCATAGTGTGCATGGCAACGCAGCATGAAGCCAGTGTCGCTCTGTCCATTAGAGCGAGAAGAGGGTGTGCCGCTCGGCCCTTTAAATATCCCTCGAGTTTTTGTGTTACTGTATATTATTTTTCCTTATACCACGATATTCTACATGCTTTGTTCTTTATTTTGGTATATCGTACATATCAATGAACACCATAATACAAGAGTACATACAAGGAAAATGTGAATGGAAATCGAGATGTTACTAAACAATTTCCTACTTTTTCAAATTATACTCGAAGTGGCTTAAATTTAAAGAATTTTATATTTTTTATGGTTTCATATAATTTTTCAGACAATTTTACGATAGAAGAGACCCCATTACAATTAATAAAAAATTCCATGGCAGAGAAATGAGCCCTAAACAATATATTTTTTTTTTAAAGATTTTTCGGCACCAATCTCCGAGGCTGAGTGTAAGTTTTCATGCACGTATGTGTCACAGGCTCCGAGGCTGAGAGGGTTAAAATGTTGGAATTCTTCATGTAGCATCATCACATTTATCATTTCAGTCACTGAATAAGATGGAAATATATATAATAATTCAGTTACCAAGGCTTGCCACATTCACGAGCCACAGAACAACACCACTGCAGTAGGGGAACTCACGTCCTTGACGTGGATGATATCCATTTTCTATACTAGTGCCGCCAACCTCACAAGGAACAACTTAAGTAAAATTATTGTTGCTACTCTGGCCTCTGAGAAAATAAAAAACAATAATGATAATACCAAATAAGAAAATAAATAAACAAATAAATAAACTAACAAATCAACTCTGTATTTGCTTTATGTAAGTTATAGCAACAGACCTTTTTCGTTACTTTACCTTAACTGCTCTCACACCCTAATGTAGAGGGTTTCCAGCATTCAAGGAAAGAAGTTGCAAAGGAGTAGTAGTAGTGGTGAAAAAAAGGGGGGAGGCCATGGCCGAGTGACCCCCCTATATATGCCACTGTTCCCATGTGTGTCCCGGTCCAGGGCTCGAACCCGACATTAGTGGTGAGAGTACACGCTTTACCATTGGTTTTATTGGCTGAAAACCTGGGAAGTCAAAGTTTACCTACCATTATCCCTATTAAATATTTATTTTTCTGGTAACCCCACTATATTTGCACTGAGCTTTAAAACAAACATTTTAGCAAAAAATTCCAAACAAAGGAAACAATTAATATTCTAGACATTTTATCAACATGGCCACCAGATTAGTATCTCCTTATTTCTTGTCATATACTGCATTTGGTTTATTTTATAGAATTAAATTTGGAAGTGGGGAGAAGGGAGGAAGCAAGTTGAAAAAATATTTATGAAGTACTGTAGATCTTAAACAATGAAACTACCAAATTGCAAAACAAATAAATATTGTATTTTCTGTGAGTTGCTTTGCAATGTCCAGAAGTGGATAATGATTCCTGACTTTGGCAAGTTCGAGCAAAGTAATCCATGAAGCATAGTTTTGGAGACTGATTAAATGTCATTCTGCATCATCACTGGCTGCATGGTGATGGTACAATCTGCTTGCAGAAACTTGTTTCATGAAGCCTTCCATTGAGAAGCAGTTGTTAAAACTAATGTACTTCTACTGTTGTCTTGTGCATATACAAGTACAGGTACTTTCAATACTGTCACCACTGTATCTTAAACAGAAAACAGTAGATAATGCTATTGGGTAATACATACATGTTGTATGAAGTACATTTGATATAATATATAAAATAAATATGAAGTTAACTTCAGTTATTCCTTCAAAGTAACTGTATGAAGATATTTAAATTTGTTGACTTAGATATAAGATTCTGTGCTGTAATAAATAAAACATATATACAATATAGTCTCGATTTACGCGGATTTCGTTTACGCGTTTGGTAATTTACGCGGCACCTTGCCAGACCGACAATTTTTATTTACACGATATTTTCCATCATTTACGCGGGAAGTGGCGCGGGCAGGGTGCACACAAGGTCGCCCAGTCAACGAAACATTACCAGTTCTTCACCCGCCACCCATCACAGCCAGCCCAAGTCAGTGATAGTGAGGATATGGACTTTGAGGGGCTTGACAAAGAGGCCCTGCAAGTCTCTGTGGTGGATAGTGATACAGGTGAGGGGCCAATAATCTGCCCTCTGCCTCAGAACCAACCCCCCATCCCCGTGTACCCAGCCATCTCTTCTACTAACGTATGTGTTAAAAAACCTAATATTATTGATATTTCTCTTAAATATTAATTGTGTGTGCATATCATAAAATTAAGATGTTATTTTTACCACAACGTACGTATTGTGTCTGGTGAAGTATAATTTGTTTATTTACTTAAGATATTTGTTTTTAGCTCATAAAATTCATAGAAATTACCCAGCCAGAATATAATTTACATTGCTGGAATTGTTATAAGATAGTGATTAATTTGAATATAAACAAGCTAAAATTTGCATTAGACATACAAATTTTAGGTCTAATTTAAGAATTTTATTAGAGAGCAAAAATTTTATCTTTTGTGCAAAAGATATGACGTTTATATTCAAATTATTCGCTGTCTTGCAAGGAATCCAGCAATGTCAATTATATTATCCTAGCCATAGTCTGAGGTATTATTTATTACTAACCTAAAAGCCTCATCCTTTTCCCCAAACATTTCCCTGGGAGGGAGGGAGCCAGCGAGCGTGGGAAGAGGGTGGGGGGAGGGGGGGAGTTGAGTCCATTATTTGAACGGACATTAACCGGCAACTGTATTTCTCTTAAATATTAATTGTGTGTGCATACCATCATAAAATTAAGATGTTATTTTTACTACAACGTATGTATTGTGTAGGAAAAAGTGTAGTTTTGGGGTCGGCCCAGTCTCTATTTCAATTAATCCCATATGTTCTTTTATTTCGTTTACACGTTTCTCGGTTTATGCGGACCTCCACGGGTTCAATTGACCGCGTAAATCGAGACTATACTGTATGTATGGATACATCTGGAGCACATTCCTGCCAATTTCGATTCAACTGAAATCATTATTTTTTTTTTTTTTTGTAGCTACCGTACCTCATTTAAGACACCATTGTAATTTTAGCACTACAGGTCCAATGGTCAGGACAATAAAAGCATGATAACACACCTATTTTCCATCACTGTTAGCATTCATCTTCCCAGATGGTAATGACCACCCCATCTGGCTCATGGACTATACTGAATAATTTACAGTTGTCAGGTTAACCAAAACTTTGCTCAGAACTGAAAACTATTTTAATCTCAAAACATTAATACTGTATCTGCATTACATCAACAGTAGTTTCAGCTAGGTTGCCACTGGTATCTACCTTCTCAATACCTTATTTACTGATTTTTATAACAGAAACATCTCTTGTACTTATTATTTAGCAGAAAATTGCTATACAAAAGGCATTCCTGATTTATGAAAGGATTCCAGTCCTGACAAACCTCTCTTTAATCAATTTTTTTCAAATTAAATCACATTTTCCCAGCCTCTCATTATAGAAGTTGGGATATGTTCTATGAAAAAATTCTACCCCAAAATGTCTTAAAATGCTTTAAAACATGATTTTAATGCACATTTTTGGTGTACACCATGAATATATTTTAACATATATACAGTTCAACCTATTTGCAATGTCTTTTGTGTCAAAAAATTAATTTTACATTTATATTTTCATTATCTTCTTCTCTCCAACAGGCCTACTACAACTACAGAAGAAAGAGCACTTCTGGCTGGAGTATTGGTAACATTCTCCTAGACTTCACAGGAGGAACACTCTCAGTAGCTCAGATGTTTATTATTGCATACAACTACAATGATTGGGGATCCATATTTGGGGATCCAACTAAATTTGGACTTGGCCTGTTCTCGGTTATATTTGATATTTTCTTCATGATTCAGCATTATGTATTGTATCGTGGCAATGAGGGTTACCAGCGTGATTTAAATTCACCACAGCCTACCCACAGCAGCTCTCTTACAGAGTCTGTATCTTCTGTTGATTATGGAGCAATTGGTAATATTCATTAATTTCTTCCCAGTCTATTAAAATTAATACAGTATACAGTACAGTATTTACTTTTAGCCATTAAAACATTACAGTAATTATATTTGTTAAATGTTTCACAGTTCCATATTTTCACAAATATACATGTATGTACCAAGATAAAGAAAGGTTTTCATTTTATATATGCTTAGTTCAGCACTTGTCTGCATCTTTGTTAACAGTATAGTACAGTATTACTTCTCATAATGAGCAATGAGGCCTATGGAACCAAATCTACATTATTAGACATCACCATTATTCCTTTAGCTGAATAAAATTGTCTGGTGTTAGTCAGAATAAAATACCTAAGGGATTCTTTACCCTCTAAAGGGTTAAATATATATTTAAACAACCCATTCTCATGTGTCAACCCTAAGTAAAATGGCTGGAATATAATAGGATATACAATTTTTTTTTTCAGAAAGTTTCTCTTATATTAATTGCATACAGTAATTTTATATGATAGTAAGAAGTGTGGCAGTTGAGCAGTTCACCCAGCTGTAAATGGGTACCTAAGTTTACAACTTGGTTGAGGTGAATCAGTTGAGTGCAGTACCGGCCGTGCTGCCCCGTGTACTGAAAGTTTAATTCTGTATACTGTATCCACACTCACCCTAATGGGCAGTCATACCTATTGGATCAATTTTCACCTTTTTTTTTCATATGACATTAGGGCATGTGATAATAACTACTGGTAACTATTAAACTTGATTTTGTAAAGCTAGTATAAAACTTATTTTACAAATATGTTTTGTATAGTTATTACATGTATGAGCTACCTCTATAAAATATTAATCCACAAACCAAAACCTTAAAGGATTGTAAATTTTCCTTCGGCTCTTTAGCTCCAAACTTTGCTAAAGACTTGCTGTGAGAGAATGTACTTTTATAAAGTCACTTTTAAGAAACTATAGGATCACTATTAGTGAAAACAGCCCAAGAACGTTTAGCAAGGATGACTGTGGGTGCAAGTCCTCAGATATAATCAGTCTCTTAAACTTTTGTCAGTGTTTTTCAGCACTGACTCAGTGTGGATGTTTGAGGCTTTATTTTTCATTTTAATAACTAAATAGTGTCACAAGTAAAGATGAAAATTATGGAGCTAATTGTTTGAAAATATTGATGAAATATGCAGTATGCATATATATTTATTTATGTATTGATTTAATTTTTCATTAGTTACAGTGCTTTTGTGGTCATTTTACCACCATAAACTGAACAACAAAATTTACTAAATAAATTTTACTTTAGCATATCCCCTACTAGTATGAATCTAAACCTTTCTCTTAACCAGTACTTTCCAGATTCAGCTTAGTTCCTTGATAGGAATGGGATTTCGAATCCTATTTATCTTGAATGCAATGAGGTTCTGCCAATAGCTGATTTTCTTGAGCTGATATTCATAACACGTATGACCAAACAATAAGCCTGCCTTCTCTGGTGGCCTCAATCATTTTGCCGTTCTAGGGAGTCACAACCCACGTCCTACTACTTCATAAAAAGCCCTTGAAAACAATGATGTCATCAAGCGTATTAATGCTTTTCATTTACAAGTTTATATTTTACAATAATATTAGATTCAGTGCTGTTACATAATATTGGTAATTGTAATACAGTACGGTAAAACCTCAAATAATGACGGTAATGTGTCCTCCAATATTGCAGTGTAAGGTGAATCATCATATCATGAATCATTAATTACCATTAAAATAAAGCAATAATAATGAGATGCGTTCCAAAGTTTGACCTTTTCATATCTTTTGTGTGGCCTTTTACCCTCTTTTCCCACAAAACAGAAAGTTTAATGAAAAATGCAAACTACAGCTCTTCCCCGACTTACGACGGGGTTAGGGACCCAAATCCAGGTCATAAGTCGAAAATGCTTAAATAATACATAGAAAATCTAAAATGGGTGTCTCTTTTACTTCTCAGCACCACAAAACTCTCACTTTTAAGCTTGCCAGCCATTTTAAAGTGAATTACAAATGAAAATTTTGTCTGTGTATTGACGTTGGGACTCGAAAATACGTAATTTGACAAAATTTTGGTACGACTGAGGCAGGTCGTAAGTGCGGGTGATCGTAAGTCGAGTAGGTCGTATGTCGGGGAGGAGCTGTATATTCTTTAAATAATGTTTATGAATGCATCTTATACAATATAAATGAATAATAATATGGTCACACAAGAGGAGATGGGAAGCCATTGTTTTCATTGGTGTTTACACCCGTGACAATGGTTCTAAATAAGAAACTGAAGAAAACATAGCATCATTTATCTTATTAAGAATATGTACAAAAGATTCATTATTGTTTATTACTGAATATGTATTTGACTGAATTAATGTTAATATATGCTAAATGAACAATACAATTCATTAATAATACATAGAATATTAAAACACACAAGAGGAGATGAGACATTGTTTTTGTTAGATTACACCCGTGACAATGGTTCTACATATGAAACTGAAGAAAATAAGACCCTGGTTATAGCTGTAGTAAAATTAATGTAAAAAAATTAAAATATATATGTTTTAAGTCATGTTATTTTATGTTAATAAATGGAACAATGGAAGTAGCTTACCACTAAAGGTAAAGAAATAAAGCGAGACGGATTGGGAACGCCAACGAATACGTGAGCACTCAAGGACACATAGCGTCATTTCTCTACATAAGAATATGAAAGCAACACTTATTTACTATTCATATATGTTTTAAATAATATTTACGGATGTAAAACAAAAATTATACTCACCAATGGTGATAAAGTCTGAAACATAAAGACAGCCAATGATGATGTGTGAGTTTTTACTCATGACGAAGTCATCATGTTCAACTCTGGCTGAAGATATCATAGCTTTTGCTGAAACTGTTACTGAACTTGAAGTTGTTGAAGCTGCTTATGATGCTGAATTTGATGGTGTAGCTGAAGTTGATGGTTTAGGCCTTCGAATAATAAAGCTGTTGAAAGAACCTTGCACAGCTGCTTTCTTTTCTCATTATTCATCTTTATGTAGAGGTCATTTCCATTTTTCATGTCCCTGCTAATTTTAATGCTTCGTTCTGTTAATGGATCCACTTCAGAAAATATGTTCATTGCTTTCTCCATATAATATTCACAGACCTCTCTCACCATTTTCATATCATTTTAACACATCTAGTTTCTCAGCTAACCTTATACACTTTATTTTAGCTTTTGAACCAACACTACCATCACTTGCTGTCTTGCTCATGTTGAATAGGGAAGCAAAATTGCCATAAGAAACCTGAGAAAGTTTTTCTCCTTTTCCTGTTCTGATGCATGAAAACAAAAGGCCTGCCAAGCTGCGACTGTTTATACTAGTGATGCTGGTGTCACCAGCCTGGCAGCCTCTGTGCGCAGGGCTTTTTATTTAATGCATATTGGGATTCAGTTATTATTTATATGAAATTTTTTTTTATTCTCTTTTAGTCGTAAATACGAAGAAAATAATGGCGTAAATTGAATTGGGTCCTAAATTAACCAGGGTTCATAAATATGAATTGTCGTTGGTAGAACCGTTGTTATCGGAGGCTTTCTGTACAGTTATAATACAATCTTAACTTATTCATTACAAACTAATTCATTAGAACTAAGAGAAAATTATGAGAAACATTTAACTCGTCTCAATATCCAATGTTAATTATATCCTCATCATATTTGTAATTGATAATTAATAAAAGATTCCAGACAATATACTGTACTGAGAAAACAGTGGCTTTCCCTGACAGTGAAAGCATTCTGTAATGAACTGCTTCAGAAGTCTATTACCTGCATATACAATCACCTTTCAAGGCTCCTATAAACAACTTGTCAGGTTCAATTTCAACATTTCATAGATTCTCAGTGGAATAATTTCCACAACCTCAGACTTCTGCCAATAAATTAAACAATACTAAAACCCACCTATCCCATTTAGTAAAACAATTATTTAAATAAGCAGAACTATTAAGAAAAAAATGATAGGTAGTCCCCGGGTTACGAACATACGCTGATACGAACGAGGTTAAACTTTAAATTTACAGAGTTTTACCTGTGAAAAAGCCATAATTATGAACAACATATTACTGTACACACTTTGTACTTAAATGTACTACACTAAAGGAATAAATTTTGTATCTCCTGTGCAAACTATATGATGTTTATACTCAAATTAATCCTGCAGTATCCCACTTTCTTTCTTAAGTCTAGTTAGCGACATTTTATAGAATAAAAACTTTAAGCCTAAAATCACCTTCACCCTGGCTGGTAGGATGGGGGAGGGAGAGGTGAGGTGTTGATAGCCGGGCAGAGAAGGTTATCAGTACTGTATGTATTTGTCAGTCATAAAGAGGAAGTTCAAGTTTTTCACTTATATAATGTCACTGAATTGACTGGCAAAATAGAACTTATATTGCTGTAATTCTTGTAAGATAGTGATTAATTTAAGTACAAACATCCCATAGTTTGCACTAGACATAAAAATTTTAGTAATTAACTTAGTACTGTACATTTAGGTACAGGTATTTCCTTAGGACAATTATTTCTTTTACTATTTTCACAATATGTATTTAGGATGGTGTGTGCATGTAAATGAGTACAAATAAATGAAGAAAGTTACATATATCTACCCGAAAATACGAGTTGAAAAACAACCATAACTCCTCACAGCTTGACCCAGTAGCCTGCTTGGTGGTTGTTGTGACGAGTCTAACTTGGCTACAATGTTGTTCAGTTTATCCAGCCGAGTAGATGGAACAAGCAGTGACATGGTCTGTGACATCTCTCATGTCGTAGATGCTCAGAGACGTGTTTGTGAGCCACTCAGCCAGGCCCCACACCCCTCCCCTACATCCCTACCGTCCTTCCCCCAGCCACCCTTTCCCTTCTAGCAGTGTTTGAATCTGCTATCCCAGTTTGACCTCTCGTACTGAATCGCATATATTTACTGTCATCACTATACAGTACTGTACTCGGTGCTCGGGAACACATCCCTGTTTAACTCATGTATTATACCTTCCGTTATACGAGTTTTCACTATAATAGCAAACTCCAAGGAACACATCCTCTCGTATCATCGAGATTTTACTGCAATGGGATTTTAAATATTGTTCTATAAGTACGGTATGCACATAGCATGTGTTTCAACATGTGCATTTCCGACTTAAAAACATCCCCAGGAACGGAACTCGTCCATAACCTGAGGACTGCCTGTACGAGTAATATCTCCATTAGTCAGAATCTCTCGTGGCCAGAATTGAAATTTGCTTGGATATTTTCTGGAAAACTCGATTCCACGTTTGGGAACAAATTTCAGGGTTGAAAATCAAGAGCATTTTCTGGAAAATCTGTCCAAAATTTTATTTCTGGGTCTGGAAGCAAATTTTTATTATGAAATAATGAGCATGTAGTGGACGTCTCCCCTACAACTGCTTACAACTGCGTAGCCACAGCCACCACCTGTTACCGCATTCCGACGCGCTGGCGTCTCCTAGCAACCAAGCGAGAGCTGATGCCAGATGGTACGGTTGCTAAGCAACGAAACTACTCACCGGCAACTTTCTGGGTTTTCCCAACATGATTCATAGAGGACTGGCGGCTGCTGCTGGGTATATAAGCTCTGTCTCTCCATTGAGATTCATTCTGCCCATCTTCCTGAACAAGCAACACCTCCTCCAGCAAGCTCCACGCTGTTAACATTTATTCAACCAGGAGGCCAGCAACAGGCAACATCTTCTCTAACGAAGCTCCTGCACATCTACCTCCTTCAACACGCTACTCACCGAACGTCTTCTACTGAGCAGCTCCCCACCACACGGCATCTCCAGCACCAGACTGTCTATCATATAACTTATATATTATACAAGAAAACCACATTAGAGTTTCCTTCCATCCTGAGTGCTAGACAACATTAATATCTCGATACCCCTACAATGGTGACTCCCGGAGATAAGCACTCACACAGGATGGAGGACGGACGGATCTCTCTGCCGACTTTCAACCACAACGTCGAGGACTGGCTTGACCATGTGGAAGCAGCCCTCGCCGGCTCACGAGCGACCGACGGGCAAAAGTATTGCGCCCTGCTCTGTGCCTTGCCCACGGAAGTGGCCACGCGGGTCTCACAAACCATTTCCAACCCTCCAGATCACAACAAATTCGCTACCCTGCGGGCTGCCTTGAAGACGTGTTATTAACAGACCAGCCCCAATCTCCTGCAAGATCTATCCTCTACCTCCCTCGGGAACTCAACCCCGGG